GCAGAGAGGGAGACAGAGGATAGGAAGCAGGCTCTCCACAGACAGCAGAGAGTCTGATGTGGGGCTTGAACTCACAAACTGAGATCATGACCTGAGCCAAAGTTGGATGCTCTCCTATTCACTAGGTTGCCTTTTTGTTTTGTTGATCTTTGTTCATTTCTGAATCCAGGAATTGATGGTAAGTATTTCAAAACACTTGCTGGCCACTAAGCTAACGGAATGTAGATTTGAGTGGCTCTACGTGACAAAGAATGCAGATGTTATGGAAAACAGTATGGAGGTTCCTCAAAAAATTAAAAATAGAAATATCATATGATTTAGTAAGTCCACTACTGGGTATTTACCAAATGAAAATGAAATACTAATTTGAAAAGATATATGTATTCCTATGTTTGCTGCAGCATTATTTACAATATCCAAGATACAGAAGCAATGTAAGTGTCCATCAATAGATGAATGGGTAAAGAAGATGACACACACACACACACACACACAGCATGGAATATTATTCAAACCATAAAAAAGAATGAAATCTTGCCGTTTGCAACAACATAGATGGACCCAGAACATATTATGTTAAGTGAAATACATCAGACAGAGGAAAGACAAATACCATGTGATTTTACTTATATATGGAATTCAAAAAACAACAAATCAGAAACAGAGTCATAAACACAGAGAACGAACTGGTGCTTGCCAGAAGGCTGGGGGTGGGGGTGGGGGGGACATGTGCAAAATAGGTGAATGGGGATTAAGAAGCACAAATTTCCAGTTATAAAATAAATGAGTCGGGGCACCTTGCTGGCTCAGTTGGTAAAGAATGTGACTTTTGAACTTGAGGTCATGGGTTTGAGCCCCACATCTGGGGTCGAGTTTACTTAAAAATAAATAAATAAAATAAATGAGTCATGGAGATGAAAAGTACTGCATAGGGAATATAGTCCATCATATTATAATAATTTTGTATGATGGCAGATGATATCTACACTTATTGTGGTGAGCGTTTCATGTTGTATATAATTGTCAAATCACTAAGTTGTATAACTGAAACTAATATAATATTGCATGTCAAATATAGTGAAATTTTACTTATTTTCTTTGTATTTATTTTTATTTTTTAATACTGAAATTAAAAAAAACTAACACAGATATTGCAAAAAATAGCTTAGGAAGTCACTAAATAAGCCAACCACCGCAGCCCAAACAATTAGGAACAACAAACCTAGAAGAGGGGAGAAAATGTGTCTTCCAAAGTTGTCACATTCTAATATTCAGAGTTTCTGGTTTTTAACAAGAAATGCAAGGAACAAGAATTCTAAAATCATATGGAATTATAAGGGAATATAATAAGCCAAAATAATCTTTAAAAAGAAAATAAAAGTTGTAGGACCCTGACGTCTAAATTTCAAAACTTACTACAAAACTACACTAATCAAAACAGCATTGTACTGGCATAAGGATAGTCATACAGATCAATGGAATAGACTCGAGGAACCAGAAACCATAAATAAACCCATACACCAATGGTCAATCGATTCTGGATAAAGGTGCCAAGATAATTCAACTGGGAAATAATTGTTCAGGAAATGATGGACAACTAGATAGCTATATGCAAAAGAATTAAGTTGGAAATATACCTCATATCATATACCAAAACTAACTGAAAATGGACAAAATACCTAAATATGAGTTAAAATTTAAAAACTCTCATATGTATAGTTATATAAAACTCTCTCTCTCTCTCTCTCTCTCTATATATATATATATATATCCCACTATATATATAGAGACAGAGAGACAGAGTGTATATATATATATATACATGTATGTATATATATGTGTGTATATATATATACATATATGTATATATATGCGTATATATATATATATATATATATATATATAGTGAGATATAGATGGGGGAGGGAGAGAGAGGGAGAGAGAGAGGAAGAAGGAGTCATAAAACTATAAAACTCCTTTTCTTCAGGAGAATACAGGGAAAAACTCATGATCTTGGATTTGGCAATGGATTCTTTTTTTTTTTTTTAATGTTTATTTATTTTTGAGAAAGAGAGAGCATGAGCATGGGAGGGCAGAAAAAGTGGGAGACACAGAACCCGAAGCAGGCTCCAGGTTCTGAGCTGTCAGCACAGAGCCCAAAGCATGGCTCAAACCCACGAACCATAAGATCATGACCTGAGCTGAAGTCAGATGGTTAGCTGGCTGAGCCACTCAGGTGCCCCAGCAATGGATTCTTCAATATGACACCAAAGCATAATAGCAACAAAAGAAAAATTACATAAATCGGATTTCATCAAAATTAAGAACTTCGTGCATCAAATGACACTATTAAGATAGTGAAAAGACAACCAACACAACGAGATAAAGTATTTATAAGTCATATATCTGATAAGAGTATAGTTTCCAGGGGCGCCTGGGTGGCTCAGTCTGTTAAGTGTCCAACTCTTGATTTCAGCTCAGGTCACGATCTCATGGTTTGTGAGATCCGGCCCCTCGTCTCTGCACTGACAGTACGGAGCCTGCTTGGGATTCTCTCTCTCCCTCTCTGTCTCTGTCCCTCCCCTTCTCTCTCTCAAATCAATAAACTTAAGAAAAAAAATCTTAAAAATGAGTAGTTTCCAGGATGCATAAAGAATCCTTACAACTCAGCAGTGAAAAAATAAACCACCAAATTAAATGATTAGATGTTTTTTTCCCAAGAATGTGTACAAATGGCCAACAAGCATGACAAGATGCTCAATATCATTAGTCGTTAGGGAAATGTAAATCAAAGCCACAATGAGATATCATCTCACATCCACTAGGATGTCTATAATTTATTTTTTTTATTTATTTATTTTTTCAACGTTTATTTATTTTTGGGATAGAGAGAGACAGAGCATGAACGGGGGAGGGGCAGAGAGAGAGGGAGACACAGAATCGGAAACAGGCTCCAGGCTCTGAGCCATCAGCCCAGAGCCCGACGCCGGGCTCGAACTCACGGACCGCGAGATCGTGACCTGGCTGAAGTCGGACGCTTAACCGACTGCGCCACCCAGGCGCCCCGTAGGATGTCTATAATTTAAAAAATGGGATATAATAAGTGTTGGTGAGGATGTGAAGAAACAGGAACCCCCGCACATGGCAAGTGGGAATGTAAAATGGTACAGTTGTTATATGTGACAGTTCCTCGAAAATTCAAACATAAAATTGCCTTGTGACCCAGCAATTCCAATTCTACGTATATACGTTAAAGAATCGAAAATGGGTACTCAAACAAATAACTGTACATGAATGTAGATAGAGGCACTATTTACAACAGCCAAAAGGTGGAAATAACCCAAATTTCCATCCACTGAGGAATGGATAAACAAAATGTGGCATATTCACATAATGGACTATTATTCAACTCAAAACAGGAATGAAGTACTAATACTTGCTACAAACTGGATGAACCTCAAAAACATTACGCTAAGTGGAAGAAGTCAGACACAGAAGGTCACATATTTTATGATTCCATAAATATTAAATATCCAGAAGAGGCAAATTCATAGAGACAGGAAGCAGACTAGAAGTTGCCAGGGGATGGAGGAGGGAGGAATTGGGGGAATGATGGCCAAATGAATAAGGGGTTTCATTTTGGGGTGATGAATAAGCTTGGAAACTACACGGTGGTCATGGTGGCAGAATATTGTGAATTGGGGCGCCTGAGTGGCTCAGTCGGTTGAGTGTCCGACCGGGCTCAGGTCATGATTTCCCGGTTCGAGTTCGAACCCCACTGTCAATGCAGAGCCCGCTTTACATCTCTGTCCTCCTCTCTCTGTCTCTACCTCTCCCCTGCTCATGTGCTCTCTCTCTCTCTCTCTCAAAAATAAATAAACATTGAAAAAAAAGGGAACATTGTGGATGCACTAAATGCCACTGAATCGTACACTTTAAAGTGGGTACTTTTGTTATTTGAATTTTACCACGACTTTTAAAAAAGATACAAGGGAAAAATAATCATTATAGAAAGACTGTGATAAAGGGCACAAGTGGCCGAAGATGTGGGACAAGGCATCAGTTTGAAGCTCATAGGCCTCTAGGGGCGCCTGGGTGGCTCAGTCGGTTAAGCGCCCGACTTCAGCTCAGGTCACGATCTCGCAGTCCGCGAGTTCAAGCCCCGCGTCGGGCTCTGGGCTGATGGCTCAGAGCCTGGAGCTTGCTTCCGATTCTGTGTCTCCCTCTCTCTCTGCCCCTCCCCCGTTCATGCTGTGTCTCTGTCTCAAAAAGAAATAAATGTTAAAAAAAAAAATTAAAAAAAAAAAAATGAAGCTCATAGGCCTCTTGTATGTACTATGCTCCCCCAATTCAATCCCACTCTCCTGAAAATCTAATTGTTGTCTGGGCACATACTGATGAAACGGGCAATAATAGAATGAACATTGAGAAAGAAAGCCTGAAGGTATAAAGGGTCAAAATCTAAAAGTAGGTCATTAATCCCTTTGTATTTTTTGTTCTTCCTGAAATTGGTTTCAAATTTTGAATTGTGGGAGGCTTGATGGTATTTTTTCCCCCTGTAGATAAATAAGGTCTAATATCCAGATTTCAAGATCAGGTAGAGCTTAAAACCATATGCTACTTTCGGCCTTAAGTTGTTTTACACTGAAATGAATGCAGATACTGCCAAGTAAGACTTTGAATGAGCACTGAAAACGTGACCTGTGTCAAGGCACCGTTCCATCTAAGGTCTCATAGTAGTTAAATCCCTCAGGATAGTGATGAGCACACATGAAGCCAGATATTACAATTACAAACAGCCAGTTTGATTATCGAATCACTACATTGTGCACCAGAGACGAATACAAGATTGTACATCAACTAAACTTTAAGAGTAATACTTTTTTTAAAGAAATTAAATTAAATTAAAAATACCCAGTTTTCCTCTGGCATCTGACACTATTAAAATACACAAAAAAGAATAACAAAAAGAATACATTGATCTCCATCAAGGAACATACCTGGAAGTAGATTCAAAAATTGCTATTGAGACTGCAGATCTAGACAGTAGCCCAGTGAGTCTGGAATCCTCCCACCTGAGAAGATGGCTAATCCTTCTTGACGGGAATGCAGGGATTATGCAGTAACCTTAGCAAGGCGGGCTGAAGAGGTGGTTATTCAAGCTCTAAAAAGTGAAATGAATGTTATGGTTAAAAGTTTCCCATTGACTTGCTATCTGAAACTAAACAAAAAACTGGGGGGGGGGGATGCTTATCTGTTTTCCCTCAAACCCGCGTTTTAATTTCATAGCCACTGGATTCTATTCAGGTTCTAAATAGTCCTTGATGGTCCTTGGCTTATCAAATTCAAAAAGAAAACTGTCCTGGCATAAGATATTTTAACACTTTAATTTACTGTTTAGCCTTGTCCCTTGGCACGTGAACAGACTGTTAAGTGTTATACAGTCTCACGTGAGCCTTGCGTTTGATAACACGTAAAGTGAACCGACAAAATTTTCATGGAAGAGGTGATTTTATTGTTGTGTACATTTAATATATATGATACAAAGATCTGACTATTGTAATTGCTGATTTGGACCACAGATCATGTGTAGTAAAAACGTTTCATACTGTTAAAGAAAAAAATTGCTATTTACACGCAAGGATCCTGGGGTCAGAAACGACGATGGTGCCCGGTCTGCTCCTGCAAACACACCTGCCCCGGGAGATGTAGGATGGGCTTGC